AAGGAAAATAGGCTGAAGAGCTCTCACAAAAAAATTTGTGGTGGACGAATAATAAAACCTAGGGCTACCAAGCTCTAACAAATTTCATTTCAATTGAAAAAGTTCTTGATGAGCATAAGTAGGTCCTCGTTTGAATCTGCACGCACCCACCATTTGCTTGCAAAAATATGCATTGTACTCAAAGCATGTTGGCCGCTATGTGTTAAGGAATATTTTGTTCAAACAACGCTATCAGTACGCATTTGTTGACGGTCTTCCTCGATAAGGGATCTCACAAACTCACGCGCGATGACCTCAACGTCTGCTAAGGTTTCGTTGGTAGTTGAAGAAAAACACGTAGGACGCCGAAGAGTGAAGCGATGTGACAAGTGGTCTCCATTACACAGTCCACTTCGAACAAGAACTTTATTATGGCATCATCGACATAGACATTTAGATCGAAGGTTTCTCAAAATACTTGTCTCAGCATTGTACCTGTCGCCTGTACCGTTTGGTATTTGCATTATAAAATTGTTATTTTACGAGTAGAAGCTGGTAATACCTCAAAGGAACTGCTAACTGATAAGCCTCATCCATTTTGGATGACTTCATCAGAGTTCATTATAGTCGCCTATTCTTCGAATTCTGCTTGGCACGAACACTTTCCAGTAGAGATAATGGAATTCTGGGGCGGACAACTAAACGATGTGCCGCCTGCGTCATTAATGATTGATGAAGCCGTCTTTTATTGAACATTCCGAACGGATTCTTCGGAGCTTCAAGCTCACTGGACGCCAAAAATACCACTGTCGAACAAGCCGGATACGGAATTTCAAAGCTTAAGTAGAAATGAAGCAGTCGACATGCGCATAAAAAGGCCGATTCTTTTTAACACATGCGGCCAATAGTGGCTGTTAAGTAATCCATAGTGAATTCCTGATCAAAGATCTTTCTATCACATAATGCTCAGTGGTGGTTGTTAGACAATGGATAGTCAATTCTCGATCAAAGGACTGAATATTTCACAGATTTATAGAAGACTTTGCTTTGTTGGTTTAAGTGTAGACATAATTCCTGCAAAATATCAATATTTTTTATTTTTTTATTTGACCCGTCTTCACGTCTACTGTGTGGATCTCAGCATTTCTCATATTCGATTCGTTTCCTCGCACCCACTGTCCACGAAGATCATCCAACTTTCACGAGTGGCTTCGGTTGCTGCTTGAGGATTCTCATTTCATCTTGAGCCTCATAGAATGGTGATCGAGCAATTCTCCCTGAAGTCCTGAAATAGCCGGGCTGGAGCGTTCCTAATTGGATTGCAGAGAGTGATTTTTTCCCAGACAAGTCCTGCGCCAGTTTTTTGACCCCGGAGGGATGAGAGGCTTGCTTGGCCGGGAGCGGAATCCAACTAGCACCATGCTTGTGATAACGGACATCACTACCACTGTGCTGTCCGTCCCACAAATATAGGAATACAGTATAAAATATCATTATATCCCCAAAAATGCTCAGAATTGTGGTTCTGGATACAAACGGAATCAAGAGTCCTCAAAATTGCAAATGGAGAGCGGCTTTCGCACAAACTAACGTCACATTGGGGAGCAGCAGCCCGTCCTGCTGAACCAAATCCCACTTCAAAGGCTTCCATTTTTGAATCACAAAATCCGACCAAAAAAAGCGATGTGATACAATTTTTTTGCCATAAAGAATCAAAATTTCATCTTATGGAATAAAGAAAAAGTTGTGTCAACGCTGACAAAGGTTTTAGATTCCAGCAGTTTTTGTCTGAATTGAAGAGGTTTAACATGAATGAAGATATTGCGGTTTAAGCCTAAAGGGAACCAATTTTTATAAAAAAAGCACTATGCTCATTGAAACGAAGAGCAAGTCATCCTGAAAGTTAATTTCGAATGGACCGACATTTGGTTCGCTACCTTTTAAGGACGTGGGGAACGTTTACACTTGCCGTCGCCACCGAATGACTACTGTATTCTGCAATTAGTCTGTTCAGCGTTCTGGATCTTCAACGATGCCGATATAGAAACATCAATAACATATTTTTCTATTACTGTAACATTTCAATGACAACTAAAAGGTTGAATTCCACAAATGTAGATAAGAAGAAAACACGTTTCTGTGTATTCGCCTTCTTGAAATATAAAGAAAAAATAACCCGTAATAAAGCCTAAGAAATACTGAAGATGAAGCTGCTTTCTTTGTTGTCGTCGAGGAGGAACGAAAGCTCATCTTGCATCCATCATCCGAACCATAGAAATCAGATCTCTAGAAAGTGGCTCAACCCATTAGTTTCTTTATCATTTCTGATGGACAGTTTCTCATCTTCTGAGAGGGAACTTGAGAACGACTTGCCGCCGCGTAACAACAAAAGTGCGCGCTCAATCTAATATAAGAAAATAAAGATGCGATTTTTTCCGAGTTCTTAGTTCTTTCAAGGGTTTTCAGCCAATCTATTACGCACACACACCAAAGTTTCCAGAAATCCTTCTCAACGGAGTACTGGTATTACACAGTGGTTGCACTTCTCCATACCGCCAAGTATCAGCCGCAGGACTTCCTCCAAGACGGCCACTCATTATAGACAATAGACTTGAACATATTAATTTCCATCACATCAGTCAACTTGTAGTATTTCCATGCATCAAAATCTATATTTCCTTCATGTTCGTTTACACATTCGATTACACATATATTATACATATATACAAATATATTTCAAGCCTTCTCGTCCTTTTTAATGAAGTGTGTGATATCTTCAGAGAAAAGTATACCAGAAGAGAAGAGTGTAAGTAGTATAAGAGTGTTACCAGAATGTCTACTTTTAATTAACTATCCACAGATATTTCACAGGTACGGTAACGAAATTTTTATTACAACCGGACAATATCATTATATCAACCATCAGCGTCGTGTATAAAAGGGCATCACTGAGCAAGGATGCCGCATTCGAGGAGATGGCTCAGTGAAGAAGACCTGACTCGACACGAAGGCGAAGCTGCCACGTCGGGACGAATAACAAGCGAGGAGCATCGGCTCGGATCACCGGCTCTGAGGAAGACGAAGACGTCGAAACGTTAGCCGAAAATAAATATCCTCGCACGCGAATCAAGAACACAGGCGCGAAAAACTCTCGAGGCACTCTGGATTAATTCCAGAAATCCGAAAATGAACCGAAGGGAAGAATGCCTCATTATCACGCGTGATATAGGGCAATATATAAAACTGCTTTTCTGATGTGAGGGGCACATTATACTTCCACGTGATTTCTGTGCGGTTGGTCTCTACGTGACATACTTAGTGGAAACCTCATAGAAAGCGGTGAGTGTGCAAAGCTGTGTTCAAAGTGATTGAAATCTTGGTTTGGGGTTTTTTTGTTTGGTTATGGAGGCGTCTGGCCGAGTGGATTGCTATCAACTTGACCTTTCCAGGCTCTGAAGAAGGCGAAATCCGCCGAAACGTCAGCTTAATCGTGAACAAAGAATAGTAACACCTCGCGTTTGATCAACAAAAATACGAAGAAAATAAATATATTTATCAACCTCGTGCAAGCTTATCAAGAAAGAATACATATTGATTAGTCACACCGAGGTTTAGGGAGGGTCGGTTTCGAAATATCGCTACGCTTTGTGCTAGCTGATAATACACCGACCTCTGCACGATGTGCGCAATGATGTATGTCCGGAAGAAATATAAGTTGTTACCACCGGACATTGTCATTATATATCCACCATCAGCATCGTGTATAAAAGGGCGTCACTGAGTGAGGATGCCTCATTCGAGAAGATGGCTCACTGAGGAAGATCTGGCTCGACACGAAGGCGAAGACGCAACGTCGAGGCGAACAATAAGCATGGACCATCGACTCGGATCACCGGCTCTGAGGAAGACGAAGACGTCGAAACGTTAGCCGAAAATAAATATATTTATCAACCTCGTGCAAGCTTATCAAGAAAGAATACATATTGACTAGTCACACCGAGGTTTAGGGAAGGTCGGTTTCGAAATATCTCAGCATCATTGTGGTTGTTTCACAAATGATACCCTGCCGTGAAAACTAGTAAAAACCAGTGAATAAAAAGTCATCATATATATATATATACGTATATATATATATATATATATATATATATATATCACGCAACATTCCCTATGGAACCATTACCATTACTGGACACAAGGTAGCAATTTTCCAACTTATACGTATTTGCATTAATCTATGCAGCCTCACCTAATGGGTTTAACACCATCACTGCATACTTGATATCCTAACATTAAACGACCTCCTTGCGTCGTTGCTGACAACGACCAACTAGAAAGTTGTTACCAAGTTACTTGAGTCTCGACTGCTGTACCTAGAGGTAAAAGCTTTATACGTACTTTTGTTTCCTAAGAATACTTAGCGGCACGGAGTGTACGAACTGTACAACGAAATTCCTCAACAGTTGAGGTTCTTGACGCAACATCGTGACAAATTTGCCTGACAGGGGACGTGGAATACCACGGAATTGGAAACTCCACAGGAAAGAAAAAGGTTTCATGAAAATGAAGTGATACCTCATTACAAGACCATTCTTAATTTTACTCAAACAAACCAACATAGTAACAAAAAAACCAATTGCTGCCATAAAACATCTCATACTTACAACTTACGATATCAGCGAAAAATCGTCGCTAGAATGAGACATGTGAAACAACATAAATGAAGTTAACAACAATATTAGAAAGAAATAGTATAGAGACTGGCAGTCCTGAGCACAACAAGGCAGGAGAACAATGTGAAAGGAAATTTGAAGTTTGAACACATACCCGAGATACGAGATACGATTAAGCGCTAATGAAAGAGACCATAGAAAGAATTGGTTTTGTTCGACTCGGAGCAATAACTGAGATTTCATTCCATAAAAATACACCTGAACCGATCAACCTGTTATCTAGACAATAAAAAATGAGCTAGCACATGATCCCAGAGAACAAATTTTGTACGACTTTCGAAACAATCATCATGTCTCGCTTTTGGCTACAGATACTTCAAACGTTGTGATTTGTGGCTGGACAGAAGGAAAGAGGTCGAAAATTGATAGACCCCTTAGACTCGTAACATCGTAAGAAGCTTCCTAAAAGCAATCACGTAATAATTTAAAAACCTTTTGATATATATGTGCATAAAAGAGTTAAGACCAATATACACTACTGTGGTAGAGTCTTTACACCACTATACATACACTATCCAGAATTGCGGAAGCTTGCTAAAATTCTCGTTAGAAACCAGGATTACAAAAAGCAAGTCATTACACAGTAATTCGAAGCACAAGTGTCATAACCCGGAGCAAATATCACAGGACATACATTGGTTTTCCCAAGCAACATTAATGCACGAATTAATAAGCAGATGCTTTAAATGTTTTCTTTAATGACACAGCAGATTGCAGCCATTTAATTCCGCCTTTGTTTAACGCATAAGTGACCGTTTACACCATTGTTAATGCATAGATGGATTGGTAGAGTGACGAATCGACCTCAATGCATTTCCCATCGTTTATTTTTCCTCTAAGAGTTTATTTACTTGCATTTTTTATTTTTAGAGCAATGCAACGCTGATGTTGCTTAAAACGTAACCAGTGAAGACCTCTTTCAACGCATAATAATCTACCAAAAACCTTGTTCGAAACAAATGTTCCAAGGCAAGCCGCGCGCCGCGAAAACTAGGCGCGTAGTCGCGTACGCGTTAAGTTATGCACTAGTGGTTTTCTCGACACATTCTAGCAATTTATTACTTTTGATCCACATATAGTTCTTATATCTTCACCACACGCATATTTTTTCAATCCAAATTAAATTTAAAAGTTGTAGTAACGTCTTCACTCATCAAAAAAAAGATTGAATCACTAAAAGAAGTAAACTGAAAACTTTAAAGCACTATTTATTCCAGCAATGAATCAGTTATGAGTATAACCAAAAGCACTTGTAGTATAACTAGTTCTTTTAGAATGGGAACGCGTAGTGCAGCGTTCAAGATGCCGTTCAAAGCGCGCAAAGTTCTGGTTGGACCACGCCCCCAGGCAACCAGGCCTTCGTGCCTCCGTGGTCGGTAAATTGATGCCGAACCTGCCTGAGACATTTCATAAAGACTAATAAGTGAATGTGCTGACGACTTGGGGACCTCCTAGTAATACTAACTCCAGATTCTGATGAGAATCTACTCTACCAGCATTTAACGATATTAATAAAGATGACCAAATTCTCAAGAACTAGCCGAACGACCACGCGAAAACAAAGACCTTCGTGCATTATGAATAGGAGGAAATGAGTCCAATGAAATAAGTGCTGGGGTCCGCATTACATGTGATGTGCGGTTGTGTAATAATGGAAAAATTCCCTTAGTCACCGACTCATCGGGAAGGGGGTCCGGCAAATCACTATTTACTGTTTTCAAAGGTATGCAGCGTGCTTCGTCCACTTGAGTGCATAAGGACCACAACAATTTTACAAATTACATATAGTAGAAGATGGGTAATATAATCCGGAGCAACTAAGTTCCTCCGTTGAATCCCTGGAGCAAGCACACAATTAATTTTACTCTGCGTTTAACTCCCTAACTGCTATGCAGGAACGCAGGAACAAAGCAGTTCCTCCGTTGTGTATATATTTGGGTATGATATCAGTATAACACCACTGGGAGCTAACACGCATGACTCTCATGTCAACATGAATCAACACTCGCAATCAGTATTTGACCTGAGCAGTCCTTACTTATAGAAGTAATTATCTCATTCGATAATTAGAAACACTGCTCCCAATTTTTCTCCGAATTTCTCAATTTAGCTTCACAATCAAGAAAAGGATTCAATAACTAGTGTTTATGGGTGTGAAAAAGGCAATACAGGCAAGCAAGCCATCCATTTCTCTGAGTCAGCAAATTGCTAGAACCTATGACGGGAAAAAGATCCCTCCATTCAACAAATCCCAAGGATTGCCTCAGTAATGAAGAACTCAGGATGCAGTGGCACAGCTGTACCAGGACTTTAGGGCGAACCAAGTCGACCGATATTCAACGTCACTCATGAAGAAGACAAAGGCTTCACAGAGAAGCGGAACACACAAACACAAATTTGAAGACCTTCGCGAACGAAGATATGCGAAGTCGGGTCATAAAAATTTGAAAAAAATAAATGCTGTGTTCAAGGAACTTACAATTTTTGGTTCTCGAACGACTGGTGACGTTGAGCCCGAAGAAACGATTCTGTAGACATAACGATGTTTCTGTTTCCTGCGTTTCGCTCCTTTCAAATCGATGTGAACATCAACAGGTTTGAACGCGACGTTAAAGTTATGTTTATTCATGAAGCGCACACATTTCAGAAGCTGCTCATCAAAATATGGGCAATAAATAGTTGGCCGAGGGCCTGAAATGTTCAGAAGTCAAGAAAATAAAAGGAAGAACCTAATAGAAGCAATAGAAACATTGACAACTACTAAAGGAGCACTCACGGACAGGGTAATAAACACGAGAACGCCACCCATAGCAGCTCTCCCTTTTCAAAGTCACTGGGGTTTCCTTCGCTGAAGAAAGACGATTTAAAAGGTTACGTTAAATGGCGCTAAACGATAGAAGTTCTACAAACAACCACTACTTACTGTATTAAGGGAACTGACGAAAACATACTTGGTTTGGGTGGGTTTATGTGCTCAAGGCGAACGTGTTCCTCTAGTCTACGGGTTGTTGAGAAGCGCATTTGACATCCTTCAATAACACAATGGAACGGATTAGCAGCACGAGCATGGCGGGTACGGTAGTGATCCATAAGCCAACAAATCTAAAATTGCATTCAGAGCGCATTTCTAGAGCTAATTATCTTCTGAGAAAGTACTGAGCCATAACAGAGGGCAACACATACTATAACATCTACTAGGATTTTCACACTTTCTCGGACCAGTGAGCGCTTACCAAATTCAGGAAGGAAATGCTGTGAAACTATAAAAGTTCACCTTGGAAATTTAGAGAAGGATCTCTTATCGTACGCGTACAGCATAATCTCCATTTTTTAAAAGCTTTTTTCTTTTCGGAGTCCTCTTAACGGTTTAGCGCCTCATCGTGGCTAGGTGTTCCTGGGTATCGGGCTGCGATGTACAGCGAGGAAATTCATCTCCTGGCAGGGTCTCACAAACTGATAAGGAGTCCGGCGTTTCCATCAGGAAGCCTATCTAAGAGTAAACCAATACGAGAATCCGTCACCGTCCTGGTATCGAACTAGTCGCATGGTGGCAAATCTGCCTTTGATCTGCAAGGGCGACAACTACCTGTGGAAGTGAAGACCAGGGCGGACAATAGCTGACCTCGCGACTTCATGGAACCACAGTGGCTAAACCAGCAAAACTACGTTGTAAAAAATGCTTTGAAAATCCGATTATGGGAAGGGTCCTGTATGCAGCATTAAAGGATCGAGACGAAAAATTCTAAACCTCAGTCGGTGAATACTCCGTATGCTATCCCGTCCACAGTTCAAGATTTCTCAGTATTGCAATCATACAAAGCAAGAGAATAAAACTGAGTAATAATGAGGAGTGATAATTACTGAGTGATGGATATAGCAATTTAAATATGAACTCAAAATGAGATAGAATTTCAAAGACATACAAACCATAAACTAACTTCAACTGTGCATGATAATTTTTGAACAGTTGACGCTATGAACTTCACAGCCAAATTACTTACTACCATGCAAATATATATAATAAATCTTGCGCAGCGCAGTGGCCGAAGACACCCTATAATACACATGGGATCGATCCCGCACTCCAAGCCAATCAAGCACTTCATCCGATGGAGGCAAATTGGGACCAGACTTGTCTGGGAGGATAGCAGCACTGGTTCGATATATTGGTAGGCCCCTGCGAGTCATTGCAAAGACTATATATGCATTCAACCACCTCCAACGATGCTTAACGAAGTCGAATGCATAGCGCATCTCTCATGGATTGATCAATGCCGAGAGCTTTATCTTCTTTTTATTAAAAAATTGTATACCCACAACCGGAAACATCAGGATTATAAACTAGGTTTTAAAGCACCTCTTATGGTGGCTAAAGCAATTGAAATTCCGATAACGAAAGGAGGTGAAAAAACTGCAAAAAACAGAAGATCGAAAAACGTACCTTCTTTTCGCGATCACCTCTCCTAAGAAACATAGTGCAGTCGTCCCACATACACTTTATAGACTCATCGTCTTCCTTTTCTAGCTTCGTCTTAGACGAATAGATTGAAAGCCCTCGTAGAACATCAATATGAACCCAAAAAGAGCAAAGTGGAGAAAAATTCAAAACAAGTACATTTGGCACTTAGTTGATAAAAGTTGGTTAAAGTGACAGTTAAGTAAAGACACGTAATTTCAAATATGAACTTCACTAAGATATCCTACCTCAAGAACATGATCATACAGATTGTCTGCTTTGTCGTAAACGTTTCCACACTCATTCCACAAACAATGATACCTTATGGAACCAATGTCCACGCAATTTGGTTTTGCAAAACCGTTAATATTTTCTGTAAAGCGCAGTTTGAAAACACCTTGCTGGATCAAGCACATCACGATTTAACCTCATATCCAAATCTAATTCGAAAATATGGCAAAAATATGCTTCCTCACCGAAGGAGTGTGAATCCGGGCTGTCGGACGAGGTACAAGCAGCACAACTCGAACATTTATTGCTATTCGAAGTGGTTGAAAGTGAATCCAAAGAAACAGAATCCTAAGGCAAAACAATGAGGATCAAACGAAAAGGAAAAATAAGCCTAACTGTAAGTGCCAAACGAACATAATGCGGAAGTTACCTCACGATACAGTGAAGGTTCACTGCCCGATGGAGTCAAGTCACATTCAGTTCTGCGAGTGACGTCACCAGATGAAGCCGAAGTTGTAGAGGAGAATGGTAACGAAGACAGTGAAGAACGATGAAACTTCAAAGACAAAAATTTAGTCAGTACTTTGCTCAGATTTAGGCTGTATAATGGATAGTACTCGCGCAAATAATGTCTCATAAATGCATCGTTATAACTGGTTACATACATACATGGATGGCCCGTCTTCACTGGTTGTGTGGGCTCCGGCATAATTTTCAATTTTTTTTCCGAAATTCTGCTGGTTTAGCTATCGGTTCCCTGGAGTCCCGAGGTCAGCCTAGCCAAAGTCTGCCCCAGGTCTTCACCACCGCAGGAAGTCGCAGCCCTTGTGGATAAGAGGGAGATTCGCCACCATGCCACTAGTTTGATACCACGACGGTGGTGGCTCCTGGAACTGGTTTACTCTTAGCTGGAATTGCTGATGGAAACGCCGGACCCCTTCTCAGCTTGGGAGACTCCGCTGGGGAATGAATCCCCCGCTGTACATCGTAGCCCTAGAACACACCGAACATAACTGGTCATGGTTCAAAAATCGGTTTCAATTAGTAATGATTACCAAAACTACGACAGTTCGTCAGCAATCAATCACTAACCGCTAGCCGAACAATAAATCAGCCGTACATTCACAAAACAAAATGATGTTCAAAAGGAAACTAAACACGGTTGGTGCTCAAACAGCCGAACGAATGGGAAAAGCAATGGGTGGAGTGATTACTAATCCATCTGATATAACAGTACTATATGATTATTGGTACAAAACACACAGGACAAGTGTACTAAGGCAAGTAAATATATTGCCATGAAAGCGGTTAACGAAAATCAATAGATGAATTGACAAACCTTCAAGGTGGACGACGAAGTAGCAGGACTTGATGGACAGCAGCACGATTCGAACCCAGAGTCCGTCGACAGTGGGCTGAGCCGGTCCATCAGTGCCGAGCACCGGACACCGTCTGGAACGCGGTCTGGAACGGCGAGGTTTGAGGTTCGGAGTTCGTGAAGGTGGGACGGCGAGAGAGGAAGCTGGGAAGCTGCACGCGAAGGCAGACGGCGAATGCAATGGTGAACGTCAAAAAAGCGAAGCGGCGAAGGAGCTGCGATGGAAGGAAAAAACGAACGAACGAAGAAAGAAGAAAGAAGAAATAAAAAAGAAGAAAGAAGAAAAAATTAATAGGAATAAAAAGGAAGAGCTTCTTATAGCACAAAGAGCGAGTGTGTTCAGAACGAACAGCGACCACAACAACAACGACAAAGCGACGCGATGTGAATGTGAACGGACATGACGGTGTTCTCCGTTAAAAACACAGCAATCACGAAAAATATACACATGGAGGAAAAAACGAACGCTCAAAGCCCCGTCGAAAACGGGCGAACATCTGATGGATCCTGACAAAACGCGGAAGTAAACAAGCGATCGATATGGGATTTAGGAAGAACGTGTACTTGGAACCATATTAGGACCGCTTGGACATTTGCCAAAAAAATTACGACGAAAGAAATCACATGTTCCAATTTTAGTTAAGAGACGTTTCTCTTTTAAAAATCATTATAAATTAACAAGCAGAACGTAACACTTCATTTGAAAACCGTAAAATCAATATATAAATCATGTGGCGAAGTTCTGCAATATTTGGCGCGCAACTTTTAGTCAAGTATGGTCCAGGGTTGAGAGTGCGGGGCATCTGAATCGCGATCGATAGAACCCGAACGCCGACGGGTCAATGAAGGCCATCTGACGGCCGGCCGGCCGGCCAGACCCATAGAAAGAGCGCAGACGAGGCCCATGGGCCACGAGGTCCGCTTGATACACTAAGAATACAGACAGGAAGAGAAATATGAGTTCTCTTTCCACGCCAGAAAGCCCGGAAATGGAGTTGGAAGCTTAAATGGTATCACACATGTGTAACAATTCTGGTATACGGTAGCCATATAGATTATTGTTGCTGTCGGGTACTTTTTTGGACTATTAAAAATAACGTTATCACTTTCAACCAGTGAACAAAAGCTTCTCGGCTAGTTGTCGAACTCCGTACGAATGGGAGTTTGGCCACGATAACACACTTATCTGTTTCCCCGATATGGCAATCTATCATTCCAATCAATACCGTATCGGTGTAACAGCTAGAAACCTGAAGGAAACAGCTACGATTACCGCACGGAATCCATGTTCAAGACTCACACAGTATTCGGTATAGCGAACGTACAAGTGTTCTAGAAGTAATAGAGGACCCCCGGAAAAGAATGAAGTACAGGAGCCCTTGAAAAGAAGTACGTCTCAGAGAACAGTCTTTCTTAGGAAAACTACAACCATTTCCGAAAATTGTAAAAATCATACCCGAGGGGTCGGAAAGGTCACTAGATTAAACACGACTTTGTTTTTTAGATGTTAAATAGACCACTTTCGATTAAAGATAGTTCAAATGTAGCTTCAACCATCTGTTCTTAATGAAATCCTTGAAATAACAGAAAGATTTGTAATTTATGTAGTGTAGAACGATGATGTAAAGCTTTACTGTATAGACAATGGTTCAACTCACAGCATTAGACCTCCGGTTTTGGTGATTACGTCTTCCAGGCTAAGCCCTCAGAGTAGAGGACGTGACTGTCCGTGGAGAAATCATCTACACGACAGCTCTATCCACTAAAATCAAACTTACAAATCTATCGATCGAGTCCAGCGGAATCCAAGAAACGGTTGAATTTCTTCGAATCCATCTCAAGATTGTTCTAAGCAGTAGACACATTTTCACTAAAATGATATCTCTGATTGTTAAAGGCCAGTGCAAACAAAGGTGACATTACGATAGAGTCAGGCGGAGGCAAGAAAGGCCATCAACAGAGCTACCCGAAAATTTTGACACCTAACACAGATATTATTCTGACATAGAGATTTTATCTTTTCAA